GTTCGTCTAAATAAAATATTTTTAAACGAAATGGTGAAAATTTTGTTGATTTTAATGCAAGACCAATAATCAAAAATGATAACGACACTTTTGATAAATAAAATGCTCTTTAATAGAAAATTTATAAAAATTTAACATAATAGATAAGTTAATAAATAAGTTGAATATGTATCATTGGAATAAATATTATATAATAGGATTCAAGATAACAGACTCAACATAAGATAGTATAACAGGATTTAAGATAATAGATTTAAAATTGTTATTCCCTTGAATTTATGAATTTATTTTAGCCAATTGGGAATAGTCCAATTGGTAGAGGCTTAGCTTCTTAGTATGGGAGAATGTGGATGTGAGGGTTCGATCCTTGGTGCTAACAAGAATTGAAGTATTAACACTAACACCTAACCAGTTAAGCTGCCGTTCAAAAAAAAATAGATTTAAAATTTGTTAGATTATAATTATTTTTTTATAAAAAGAGGCCCTCAATGAAATTTCACTTCCCTGCGGTCTATGTTAGACCTGACAAAACATGACACGACACGAAAACTCCACATGAACCCGACACGAAATTAGCGGGTTAGGGTCAGAGATTTCGACACGTTTATGTAAACGGGTTGACAAGACACGACACGATAATTAAACGGGTAGGGTTAGGGTCAAGACTTTCAACTCGAAGATTACTCGAATATGACCCGTTTAATTATATATTATTTATTATAAATTTCATATTTTTATAAATATATTATATGTTATAGACTTGAAGTGGGTCAAACTCAATAATTAGAAGTGATATTCAAATTTTCAAAGTTACTTAATTTTAGTCATCCTCACCAACTATCTCTTTTGCTCCCCAACTTTAACTCTTTTCATTTTTTTTCTAAACTTACTATAAATTTTGTCATTCCATCTCATAACTCCAGTGTTTCACTTTTTCCTTTTTGCCTTCACAACTCCTACTTTCCAACCTTTAAAATATTTCAACCCGACATGACACAACATATTTACAAGGTCTAAACCTTAACCCGAAACCTGACACGAAAATAAACGGGTTGACACGGCACGACACGATAATTAAACGGGTCGGGTTAGGGTCAAACCCTTTCAACCTGTTTAATGTATTGACACGACACGACACGACACGACACGTTTGTCAGGTCTAGTCTATGTCATCAGCGACCTTGCATAACTCCTCCTCTCCATACCTCATAGCCAGTAGGTCCACCACTCTTGGTTGGTAACCTTGAAGCGGACATTTTTAACAATATTAGAAATAAAAATGAGGGTCGGCTTTATTAAAAGAAAAAGGGATCATTTTTTTCACAGAAATGACAAATTATATAGTCGTCCTTTTTACCATTTTCTCTTTAACCATTATAAAATAGTTAGTCGTAAATCATGATGATAACAAATATTAATGAGGTATTAAAAAAATTAGAGTTGCTTTCATAAGTGGACATATTTAAGGATCTCAATGAGATTTCTTGTATTAATATGTTTTGTACTGTTAAATATTGGACACATGTAAAGATTTCAATGAGTTCTCTTGTAATAATATGTTTTGTATAAGTTCATTTTTTATTGCTACATTAAAAAATTTAACAGTTAGTATATAAATATCAAAATAGGACAAGGGTTTAAAATAAAATCATTAGTCAAAGTGGTTGAACGAAACTTGTTACCTTTTGGTGTAATAAACAGTGGACTACATGTAAGATCTGACTGAGTCAAAGTCTTCTGACTGAATCTACATCTATTGAAACCATGTTGTTTGATTTTGCTTTTGATTGGTTGTGATGGCTGTTAAAAATGACTATTTTACCCTTTTATTTTATTTTATTTTTTATTTTGTTTTATTTTTTGTCAAATAAAAAATATCCATTCTTTAGTAACATTTTAGTTTCTATTGTGATATTCAAATTGTGACAGTAATAACCTACATTGCCATTTAGTGTAGGTTTCCAAAAGAAACTAGCTAAAATACTAATGTACATTGCTATGTAGTGAATGTATGAAAAAGAAAAAAAAAATACATTGCATCTTTAATAGCTTTTTTTTACCAATTTCTTTGCAATAAACTATACAACAAATCCGTCATACAATTTGCTCCATAATTCCATCTTTAAGAGCCTTTAATAGCCTTTTTTGCATCATAATTCCATTTTAACTTCATATCTCATACTTGCATCATAATTCTATCTTTAATAGTCTTTTCCTCCCTTCTCTTGCATCACCATAACCTATTAGCCCACTATAATTTTGTGGAAATGTCATTATAGCATGGAAGAAACCCTCTGCACTAACAAAACACATCCACAAATCAAAATTGAGAGGTTTTGTTTTCATACCAAGATCATACAACATTTCAACAAATTCTGATTTCATACCAACATTTCAACAAGTTCTGATTTTATACAAAGATCATACAAGCTTGCAACAATTTCTGATTTCATACCAACATTTCAACAAATTCCAATTTCATACCAAGATCATACAATGTGATGTCATACATCATACAGATTGGGATTTCATACACATACAAATTCGGATTTCATACACATAAATTCTGATTTCATAAACAAATAATCTGATTTCATACATCATATAAATTATGATTCATGCACATACAAATTCTAATTTCATACACATAAATTTTGATTTTATAAATATATAATCTGATTTCATACACATAAATGCTAATTTCATAAACATATAATCTAATATCATCCATAAAACATATACATATATCAGCACAAACATCAGTTTTTCAACTGATTTTGATTTCAGAGGAAAAAAAGACGAAGCAAGTACTAACCTGTTGTGGAGGATGTCGCTGGCGATAACAGAGGTTGAGAAGGCATCGTCAAACTTGCCGGAGGGAAATACTAATTTAAGGCTTATGTATAGAAGAATGACGGAAGGAAGAGGCAACGTTGCTGATGTGATGTTTGGCTCGCAGAATGTTTCTAAAGAAATTGGAATTGGAAAAAGAATTTGTCAGGAATTTGAATCCAGTTCCATATACTGTTTGGTTTGCAGGAAATGGAATTGGAATTAATTCCAGATTTTCTTTTGGTTGATAGGAAATGCAATTGAAATCTATGTAAAATGACAAAATTGTCCTTTTTTGTTTGTTTTGCTTAATTCTACTTTGTTATATATATATATATATATATATATATATATATATATATATATATAGGTAAAGTGAATATACCTAAGGTAAGGTAGCTAACCTTGTATACCCGATCCTCAAAACTAAGTAGTTTTGTGTACCCCTTTCCTTTTCTTTAATTACATCGATTTCTTCTTATTTTTCTGTAACATTTCTCACCCCTTGTCCGACCGACGTTCCCATCCGCCACCACCACCCACCCGTTTTTCCTCTTCCCTTCTCACTCTTCACGGGAAATCCGCATCTTCACCAAATCGATTTCATAGAAATTAGAATTCAATTCATAGAGTTCACAGAAATCTCATTCTTTCTCTTTCGTTGATTCTTTCTTTCTTTATCGCAATCTCATTCTTTCTCTGTCGCCGACTCATTCTTTCCTCCTCACTTGTCACTCTTCACCGGAAATCACCATCACAAAATTGGAACTGGGTCCTAGGGTCCTTGTCTTATCGATGCTTCTTGATTTGAAAAAGATTGTGATTTAAGGTAATACATTTTGTTCCTTTTTGTTCTTTGAAGTATGGAGTCTGTTCGTTTTGTGAGAGTTCTAGGGGCAATTTTCTCATGTAATTCCAACTGCAACATCAATTTACATTACGAATTTTCAACATCCATCACATCACAGGGAGTTGGCAATGGTTGTTGATGTTTCGATATAGAGGAATTGTGAAAGTTTAACTTCCACCCACCAGCTGTTCGACATAATGCCACCAGCTGTTCTTTTTTTTTTTGATTTGTTAACTAGGTAATCTTGTATAGTTGTATATATATTTGTATCATTTGTTGTAGTTGTACAAAAGACCACTTATGTGATTTTATCCTTTTGTTTCTCAAGAAACCGGCTAATGGTTCTTGATATATATAAGAATTAGAATATTTATAATGCTTATAAAAGAAACATGGAATTTAAAGGTTTTTCTTACTTGTTGCTACATGTGCAGCAGGTTCTCATGGATAATATTTTGCTCCTGTGTACATACAGCCAATAACAATGTTGTGTATGTAAATTAGAGGGGCAATAATGTCAAGTGTCGCTAAAAAAAATTTCCATTCGTCTTGGGAATCAGTGTTTCCTTTGCTCATTGTTCATCCATCCAAAAAACAGGATACACAACTTTGCCTCAAAACAAAGTGTCGAACCAACATTGCAATTGTCTTTTGGCGACCCAACATGAGCAAAATCGTCTAACAAGGGAAAAAGCCATCACACTTCTGTGTTAAAGATGTACCAGTGATCATGGAAGTTAATGTGATGTATGCAAGATGTACCAGTGAGATTGAAGTGTGTCTTGACTAGTTCTTTGTAGCTAAGGGTTTCTGCTCATGTGTTTAGTAAATAAATTACTGGTAGTTTGATTGTGATTTGAATAGCTTCCATGTTCTTGTTTTGGTATTTGTTTTTCTTTCTCTTGCGTTGACCTTTTAATTTGGTCAATAGTTATGTAACTTAAAAAGGCAATGCAATTTCGTATTTTGATTAGGTATGTTTTAATACTATAAGATTGTAGAATTGATTCTTGACAGCTACCTAAGTTGACTAGTTTGAGTTAAAAGAAGATACCCTATAATGGGAAAAGTGGAAAAAAAATGAAATTTTGAGGCTATTTTGTGGAATAAGGAAAATATGAGGCTATTTATTATGCTATTATGTGAAAAAAAAAAACAAAAGTATACTGCTGTTATTGGTTAAAAAAGAAAGTTAATGATGTTATGTGTTTAAAATGAAAGTAAGATGTTATCATTGGGAAAAAGCCCCATCATTATTCACAATGTAATTTAACAAACACATCATACAACCAACTAGGAAATTTGGAAATTTAATGATCGACATTTCATTAAAAAATCTGGAAAGTTAGTTTTACACGCAAAATTCATTAAAACAATAAATCCTCTATCAATATACAATGGTGTTTTGTACATTTGTGCTTTGTTTTTCACCACTTGCATTAGAGATTTGGGTAACATGTCGGGTCCCTAATCAAAACTTCTAGTGGGACTGATAGTGGGAATTCATGGAAAGGTCAATATGATTATATACAATGAAGATACTATATCCCATGCTGCTTCATCATAAGGTTTTCCATTATCAATGGCTTCAAGTTTTGCTAATTCAGATTTCTTCTCAGTTATCTGCACATGAAAAGCTTATGAACTTTGATAAATCTCCAAAACAAAGAAAATAAACCACTAAAAACTAATTTATTAACTAGAAAACCCGTAAAATTTCAATAAAACTAAACACGCACCTTTGTAGCAATGACATGCAGATACTTGGCACAATGTGCTCCAGAAAGCTGTTGCCCAGTCTTTTCCTCCATTGCGTTTAAGAGCTCTATGAGTTTGCTTTCACAACAATATCAACATCTTTAGATGTAGCTGGTGGGATATCCCCTGCAACGATAACAGTCCGTCAAAAAAGTTCATGTGCGTTCACTTTAAATCCAACATCACTGCCATAGAAGAAAAGGGTATAGATTAGCTTTCGAATATAGAGGAAAACATACAATTTTATTCATATAAAAAATGAAAAAATAATGTTATGATAGGAGATGACATTTTGTCGAACACCTAGTGCTTCTTTTAATATAGTTGCAAATGAAAAACCATGTGAGATTCACCAATCACAACTTAACATCAAAAATCGATTTCACACTCACACTAAATCATAAATCAATTTTGAGTCAAAGTGAATAAGTCTCGATTATTCAAAGATCAAACTTCCAGAAATCAAATAACTTCGGGTTCTAGTTTTCTGAATTCGAGCTTTAGATTAAATCAAAAAAAATTAAAAGATTGGGAGAAGAAATCGACTAACCGTTGGGGGTCTTGAGAAAAGGAAGTCGTTTGATTTCTTGCTGACAAATGGAAGTCGTTCCCTCCCTAGGTCCTTAGGGTGTAAGCCATGTGTGCCAGTTTTGGGGCAAATCCAACTGTTGGGAAGAATCGAAGGACTTACAACAATCGAATGAGTCACAGCAAACACCCATCTTCGTAATAGGAGTGGACGAGAGCTATATCATGATCGATTTTGTCTTCTGAGTTCTCTCAGTTGATATGCGATAACGTATGAGGAAGAAAGTAAATCTTCGTTAACTTCAAACGACGTCGGATATTCACTTTGGGTTTGTAATCTTATATACCCAAAGGGTATATTCACTTTACCCTCTATATATATATATATATATATATATATATATATATATATATATATATATATATATATATATATATATATATATATATATATATATATATATATATATATATATATATATATATATACTAGCAGTTTACCCGCACCAAGCGACGGGTGCAAATTGTTCTTTCAAAAATTAGTTTTTAGAGCCGATTAGTTCTTTTACGCAAATAGTTTACTACATCTACACAATTATCAATAAAAGTCATGCCAGGAAAAATGAAATAATAAGAGTAAATTACACTGATCGTCCCTTGTGCAGGTGTCATAATACACGTTCGGTCCCTATTTTCAAAAATTAACTCGGACTGTCCCTTGTTTGTTTAAAACTTGCAAAATCCATCCTCCGGACATAAAAAGACTATTTTGTCATTAATAATTTCTTTTTTATTTTTTTATTTGTTTATCACTTTTAGATTAAAAAGAAAAAGAAAAAAAAACTATTTCTACCCACCCCTCCCCCTTCCATTTTCCCAGTTTTCTTTCCCTCTTTCTCACCTACTTCTGACAACCAACAACTCCTGCTCCCATCTCAAGCCAAGCATAACTCCTTTTTCTCTTACTCTATTTTCCGATCGCCAAAAAAGAGATCTAGTGGGATCATCAGAATCTGCCACCTACCCGCTATTCTCTCTCAACCTCTCTTCTTTGCTTCTTGTTCCTAAACTAATACCAACTGTCCACCTCCCATACTCCTGCTTCAAGGATCGCCGCCAATTGCTGGTGAACCTAAGGATCCATCAACACCGAACCCAACATCAACATCCATCACACCTGCAACACCATATCTTAAATTGCTAGATGATGAAATTGATTCCAAGAAATTGACAGGAGGGGTGGGGATTGTACATCAATGGGAAATCGAATGGGTTTAGGTATTGTCAGTGCTTACTCCATCTCCATCTTCTCTATGTCCATCATCAAACTATATTGCAGGTTTTGAAAAAGGTCTGATTTGGAAATCAAAATTGTGTTAATGCAATACCAAGAGAGCGACAAGAGAGATGGAGAGATATGAGTGATTTTAGATTTTGTAGGGGCGTTTTTGGAACCATTTTCAAAAACCTTCGATTTTGCAGGTTTTCAAGACGACCCACCACCATTTTTGATTTCTTGAACTATTTTGATTTCGAATTGATTTTCATTTTGAGTTTCATTTTTTGAAACAATTTTGAGATTTCTGAAATGGTTTTCAGTTTCTATAATCATTTGGGTTACACGTTTCAGTTTTTTTTTATTTTCGATTTCAGGAAATGGAGGTGGAAGGGTGCAAATCGGGGGTAGTCGGAGAAGATGATCGGAGTAGAGAAGAGAAGAGCATATCAGGAGAGGAAGAGAATGGGTGGGTGGGGTGGGTTTGGAAATTATTTTTTTTCTTTTTCAGTAAATACAAAATAGTTTAAAAATAAACTAAAAATAAAATAATAAGGGCATTATAGTCATTTTATATATGATAAAGGATGAAACGTGCAAAGTTAAATTAATGAGGGATGAAACGTGCAATTTTTAACCAAATGAGGGACGGTCCGAGTTAACTTTTGAAAATAGGGACCGAACGTGCCTTTTGGCACCTGCACGAGGGACGATTCGTGTAATTTACTCAAATAATAATTATTAAAAATGAAAAAATGAGATTCTTTAGATATGTACATGAACACATGATTGATTGTACATTATTGATCATGCAAGACTTCTTTATATATATCACATTTGATTTATAGACTTCATTATAGTTGAATTGTTAATCACCGTTCACTAATACTTTTGTATTGGTACGTGATATCTTTTAGGATAATGTCACATAAAGTTTGTCATGTGAGAAAACCGATTCTAAAAAGATTAGTACTTGCATTTGGAATTGTTTGTCCCTATAACTTTATTGATTGTCATCTCGAAACGTAATCGAATTGGAGATTGTTTTCTCTCCGGCTTGAAGCTTGAATGAAAACATGTCATCTTCAGACGGAAAACAAAAAAAATAAATAAATAAATAAATAAAAACTTTTTTCAATGATTAAACCTAAAAAATGGTTTTATGGAATTTGATTCGGCATCTATAAGGATGACTTTATATAGAGTGAATTGCATTTTCGTTGATTATATACAATGGGAGGGAATATTTGTAACTTTATATTGTTAAATTGAAAATATTTACGTCATATTATAAAAAATGATTTATAATTATTGGTATTTTAAAATCCAAATCGTCATGGTCGGTCGAACCGATTGGACCATGTGAAGAGACGGGGCCAAGTAGAAGTGGTTCTTTGCCTACTTACCATTCGGAATGACCCGATCGGATTTATAAAAAAAAAAAATAGGTTGAGCCGGTGACAATAACCCGATAAAACCCGGTTAACATTAAAATCTGAAATAATCTGATTAAGTCTAATTAACATCATCTGTTCACACACAAATGGTTAAAAATTCAAAGATCAATGAAAATCATTAGGATTCAACAGTCGTATGACTAAATATGGTTAGACGAACGTTGTTCATTAGTCCTATAGTACTTCAAAATTCATGGTTGAGCTTATGAAGGTTTTAACATTGAACATGTCCATAAACCAAACATTTTTTACGATAAATTATTGACTGACGTTTAAAATAATTGTTCTAGCACAACTAATATGAAAATGCACATAGGAAAATAAAAGGAGAAATATATTCAAGATTCTTTTAGATCATTGTTTACTGGTCATCATTTTACCAAAAACACAATCCTCTTTAAACATAAACATAAACAAAGTGTATGTGGTATTATGGACGTCTTTTGTTGTTTATCAACTATTATTTTTTATTTGTTTACAATAAAAAAGCATTTTCAAGATTGAATACATATACATACTTATAAATAATATATAGGAAAATATTTGTACCATAAACAATGATCGAGAATGATGATTTTGGACGAGTCTTAATTAGCTTGAATCTTCCTGACAAACATCAACAAAAACAAACAAAAAAGCAAAAAAGAAATACCATATTTATAACAAAATAAATAAGATATTTACTGAGACATGCCTACTTGATAAGTGCTCTTGAGAATGCCATTAGACATGAACTCATAAACTAAAATTTTGCAATGCAATCATGGGCCAAAATCAATGATATGTGTATTGTGTGTATATGACAAAAGAACTAAAAGGTAATTTACAAGAACACCTAAGAACCAAAAAAAGGGTAATCATATACATTCCAACACACACCCATATTAGAAAATAAAATCAACAAAACAACTTGAAAACACTAACTTTGAAAAAAGAAATCCAAACTTCCTCAATACGAATAAGGATTGTTGAGAGGCCTTTAAATTCTTATACCTTATTTGTTTCCAAACCAACATGAACAGGGTTATTGGATGATTTCATCTTGTTATCAACTGGTTTGTGCAGAGTATCCTTGCACATGATTCACTAAATTTATAACCAAATAAATATCTCTTAAACTAACCATTCTAGTAATTTTGTAAAAATATAATAACTATCAAATGCTTTAACTATTAGCATATATTTGTATTGTATTTACTTTCTGAGAAGGGTTAATGTTGGAAAATCTGCTTGGAGAAAAAAAATTGAATCGGTACATCCAAAAACATATAGAATCAATAAAATCGAAAACAATTTTGGAGAATAAATTAGCTTTCTTACCTGGTAAATCTGCAAGAAGGAAACATAAACATGTTTTAAAGTAGTTCGATGTGTATTTACAATCAAAGAGCATTCCTTCGTGTTATAGTGGTCAAATTAGCCATCAATCACAGGCTCTAAACGTAAGCAGAAAAATTAAAATGTGGACATAAATCCAAATAAATCTAGAATAAAAAAAATTGAAAATTTATGTTAACCGAATAATAAATCGATAGAATATGCTACGTGACCTTCCTCGATTCTATTAGACGATAGGTAAGCTATAGTATTTTGTGAAATAAAGGGAGAGTGAAAGTGGCGGGTTTACCTGACGATGGGTGGATGAAGGCAGCTGATTTAGCAGCAGCGCAAGAGTGGTGGTTGGTGGTGGCTATAGTATTTTGTTGTTAGGTTTCCAGGAAACAGGTTTGGCTAGGAGATTACAAGATAGTATAAGAGGCATATAAAGTATGAGGGGGGTCAGATTTTGTGGTTAGGTTTCCAGATGAAAGAACCCAATTTTATGTTTTTCCGGTGGGGAAGAACGTGATATTCTACAGATAAGGTGCCGAAATTAGGATAATTAGAATTCAAATTTGAATTTCATAAGGCGATTTTCTAGTGATTTAAAGGGGCTAGGTCACATAACAAACATGTATTGGTATTTTGGGAAACACTTACTTGAGCTCGGTCGATTGCACGCATCACACACCTTGTTCTTTTCAAAGTTCTTTTCCCTTTTCAAATACTTTTCAAGTTCCTTTTGAAAATTTTCATATCAAGCCCTCAGTTTGAGTCCAGACACACCCGAGAGTGTGCCCGAATCCCTCAAACCAAGGCTCTGATACCAACTTGTAACATCCCAAAATTCAAGACCAAAAATTTCGTTTTGATTAATTAAAAACCGCTAAATAAATTTTGCTCAATCATTTAATAACATTTTCCATAAGACATTTATCAGAGTTTTAAATCCCAAAGATCATCTAGTGCGGAAAACATGGTGTGATGCGCTGCGATCGCCCCGCCTTCCTTGGAAAAAACATTAATACCGGAAACAAATAACTGAAAACCGTAAGCACGAAGCTTAGTGAGTTCCCCAGATACCACATATCATACATATCAATTGGTCCATACATGCCATACGTAACCATGAGCCATACATAATAAACATATCCATAATCAAGTAAGGTGCTATGTGCCAAACATAGTCTTGCTGTTATGCCACGGGCTGCACGTGGTCTTCCTTGTCAGCCTGGGGCCACTCCCTGGGTCTTACAGACAAGTGCCAAGGGCTACCCCCTGGTGTTCCATGCAAGCATCACAAAGATAATTATACATACTACTCTATTAGGCTACTCAGCATAAGGTGTGTCAGGAGCCATCTCCTGGTCTTTCATACATAACAGCATACAGTGTGCCAGGAGCCAACCCCTGGTCTTTCATACATATTGCCTAGGGCTAACCCCCGGGTCTTCCTACCATACATAATAACATACTGTGTGCCAGGATCCTCCTCCTGGTCTTTCATGCATAATGCCTCGGGCTAACCCCCGGGTCTTCCTACCATACTTAAACTAAATAGGCCGGCATTGTGGCCGTAGACCCATACAAACAGTGAGGAGACTCACCTCACACTGCAGAAGATTCACTGAACCCTTCTGACTGCTAACCGACACTTCTGAACTGCTGACCCTTCGGCTTCCCGAACTATCAATACCCAAAACAACATTTAGACCATAATAATCTAAAAGTCAACCCTGGTCAAACTTGGTCAAAGTCAATGGTCAAAGTCAACATCCAGTTGACCTGACTCGCCGAGTTGGTCTACCAACTCGTCGAGTCCATACTCCTCCAATCCCAAAACAACCTCGGCTCTACCCGTCGAGCCTAGCAAGAACTCGACGGGTTATCCTTCAACCACACAATCGGGACCAACTTCATCCGACTCGCCGAGTTCATCCTTGAACTCGTCGAGTTCCTCATCCACATATGAATGTGTCTAGTCAGTGACTCGCCGAGTTGTATGAACAACTCGTCGAGTCCATCTTCATAAACTAAGGAGATTGTCTTAGACTCGTCGAGTTCTTCCTTGAACTCGTCGAGTACGATGAACTTCATAACCATTATGGACTCAGACTGGCTGAGTCCCTTTCCAATCGCAACTCATACCCTTAACAGAAGGGTTTTGGGGCAAGAACTGGCCTGACTCGCCGAGTGCCACAACTGACTCGCCGAGTCTCTCTATGTCCAACATTATTCAGACGATTTTAGACAAGCTCAAGGCATCCAAGACCCAGATCTGGCCTCCTAGGTTCGGGATATCACACAAAGCTGCTACCTTTTCACCCTTGCATGGCCCTTTTTGCTCAAAAGGACATAATAACCACTTAAACTTTGCATGGGGAGTTCTATTGGCATAAAGCTTCCACCTTGATGCCTTTACTACTCTGAATATTCCCAGATCTAAAAGGATCTATCTTGGGGACGCCCAAATCCCTCAAGAAATCATTCTTGGTCCATAAGCTTCGTAAATAGGGACAAGAAGAGATCTATCAAACTAGAAGTCAAGGTGAGAACTTGATTACCAGAAAATGAAGAAGATGAAGCAAACTTCCTGGATCTACAACCTTCTCCTTTCTCCTTGGACCTCCAACCTCCTTCTTCTTCTTCTAGACTTCAAGAACACTCTAAATCCTTCAATAAAGGCTCTCACACTAAAAGAGAACACTAGGGTTTCGTGGGACAGGTTCTGGACAATGGAGGCTACAAATGAGGCTGATAGAATGAGAATAAGATGCTTAAATAGGGCACCAACTCCCGATTTAGAGTTTTTCCCAAAACCTGGCCAACTCGCCGAGTCAGTCCTCTGACTCGTCGAGTAGGTCACTTAACCCGCGACCAAAATCGCGCTCCTACTCGTCGAGCCACCCATCTACTCGACGAGTCACTCCCTTATCTTGAGGTTTACTTTCCTTTTTAGGTCTTCGGAAATCAGGGTGTTATAGTAACGGTGGTGGTGATAACGGTAGGTAGGTGGTGGTGGCAGCAGCATGTGGTGGTGGTGGTGGTGGCGGTGAAAGGTGAAAGGTGAAAGGTGTTGGTGGCGGCGTTGGTGGTGGTGGCAGTTGTTGGTGGTGGTGGGTGGTGATGGCAATGGTGAAGGTGGTGGTGGGTGGGTGGTGGTGATAGTGGTGTCGATGGCGGTGGGGGTGGGTGGTGGTGGTGGTGGCGGTGGTAGTGGGTGATGGTGGTAGATGTTATATTGTGAAATAAAACATGGTTAATAAGGTAAAATGTCGCTTTCCTTCGTTATAGCGAATTAATTTTATTATCTTCTTGAAGGAAAGTGTTTTCCCTTATTTGATGGAAAGTTTTTGCATCTAGGATACCGATTCCATCGTACAAAGTTGAACTAAACACTGGAATGTGGTGGAATTGGTTTCATTTTCTCCCGAATTCCATTCTATTCCAGCGAACCAAACGCACCGGTGCGTGTTTTTCTTTTAGGTCACGGAGGGCACAAAGGGGCATGTATGTCTTTCTTTTGAGCTAGACAAATTTTTGAGTTGGACCGAGTAAGGAGTTGGAACCGTCAGTCATTTTAGGGCTTTAGCAAACGGGCTGACCAGATTGAGTCAACTAAAATTGCTATCGGACCGGATTACTATCAAACGGAGCCTAAATAGCGCATTTGGCCTAGCGAAAAGAATGGCCCTTTCAATTGAGATGTTAGGAGTTCAAATCTGATTTGAGACATAGAGGTAATTAGAAAAAGACAAAAAAAAAAAGTTTTACAACAAATATTATATATTGGTTGGAGAATGTTTTTTACACCCATTTGGTTACATCAACGAGGCTATAAAAAAGTATGTTGCATTAAACAGTAATAGGAATTGGCCTAATGTAAGTTGTTAATATGTGAGTTTAACCCTTTAAAAAGTTACACACAAGTATGTTTTCCATGTTTTACATATAAAAATATATGGCTAAGAAATATACCAATTTAGTTTCCTCTTTTGATTGATTTTTACAAAATATACAGCCCCTTTAACACTTTGGGAAAACAAAAATAAAGTGATACAAGGAATTAACGTAGTTCAGTCGATGTGGCCTACATCTATGGACATAAACCATATAACTTTTCAATTACCAAACTGTGTCAAGAGTGATTACATTTGAATCCCTAACTACAAATACTTATAACCATTAACCCTGGCAATTATATAGGGTCGGGCCCATATACAAGTAAATTCGAAAATCTTCCAAATGGCCATTTAGGTTTTCTTCACTTCGTTTTGGGTCGACTTACCAAAATATCAAGTCACATGTTAACACGACTAAACAACAAATTGTTGCACATACATTATGAATCGACTCCAAAATCCAAAATCTTTAAAACTCAACGTCTTCTCAAAACATAAATGTTCTCTAGCTTTACCAATTGCTCAAGTGTTACACGAGACCACCTATTGAAAATCTTCAATATGAACAAACACCTTGTGATTCAAAGATTCTATGATCATACTAACATTCCCAAATCCGTAAAGTTGGTGTCCATCTTGCATTCTTTAAGTGTTTTTTTAATTATCGTGTTTTATAATTATCGTGTATTTGTTTTATTTGTAGTGTGATTTTTTAATTAAATGTTATTTTTAATATTATTTAAGATTTTTTTGTTCGTTATCTCTCTCTACTGCAGTCCACCTCTCTTTCAACATCTAACCCCTTAAATGAGGTACGTTTAAACTTTAACCTAATTCTTGTTTGATAATTTTGAAATC